TATTCAAAGAATTCGGGTTTGAGATTCAGCAAATTTGTAAGTGAATCACACAGAATTAGCGAGCTGTGTAAGAAATATGGTGATATTTTTGAACCAGCTCTTGGCACAATAAAAAACTTTAAGGTCAGTATTTTTTTAAAGCCAAATGCACATCCGAAATTTTACAAAAGCCGACAAATTCCATTTTCGCAAATGTCACTTTTCAAGAAAGAAGTCGATCGATTGACAAATGCGGGTATTTGGAAACCTGTGAAGTTTTCCCAATGGGCTTCGCCTATTGTACTAGCTCCAAAAGCTGATGGTTCCATAAGAATTTGTGGGGATTTTAAACAAGCAGTCAATGCGCAAATTGACATTGAACAATATCCTTTGCCCATACGCGAAAGTCTTTTCCATAAAATTCATTGCGGTCAACATTTTACAAAAATCGACCTTAAGGATGCGTATTTACAAATGGAACTCGACGATGAAGCAAAAACAATAATGGTTGTCAACACTCCACTTGGGTTATTCCAATACCAACGTTTACCGTTTGGAATTGCAAGCACTCCAGCTATATTCCAAAGATATCTTGAGCAGTTACTTCAAGGCGTAGAAGGTTGCGGAAATTATCTCGATGACATTATCATCTCCGCACCTACATTTCAACAACACATCAGCCGCCTAGAACAAGTACTTCGTATTTTGCAACAAAATGGTATCAGGTGCAAGCAAGAAAAATGTTTCTTTCTGCGAGATAAAATCGAATATCTCGGGCGTCAAATTAGTGCAAAAGGTATATTGCCAGATGAGTCAGGACTAAAAGCAGTAAAAAACCTGCAGCCGCCTAAAGATCTAAAGCAAGCAGAAGCATTCATGGGTAAGGTAAACTATTACCATAATTTTATACCTAATTTTTCGCAATTATCCGCGCCAATCAACATGCTGCGCCGAAAAAAAGTAAAATTCACATGGGGTACAGCACAACAACAAGCATTTATAGCTCTTAAAATGCATATTCTCAATGCAGCGCAATTAGCACATTATTAGGAAGATTTACCGTTGGTTCTAGCTACAGATGCCTCCTCCTATGGCATAGGAATCGTGCTCTCGCATACGTACGTTGACGGTACAGAAAGGCCTATTGCTTTTGCATCTAAAACTCTCGACATTCATCAACGACGATATAGTCAGATAGAGAAGGAAGGGCTAGCTATCGTTTTTGGAGTCAAGCGTTTCCATCAATATTTATACGGAAGAAGATTCACATTGGTTACTGACCACAAACCTCTTGTTAGCATTTTTAATCCAATTCATCAGTTGCCGTCGATGACGTCACATCGTTTACAGCGATGGGCTATTATACTAATGGCTTATCAGTATGATGTTCGGTATCGTAAAACTACTGAGCATGGAAATGCCGATGCTTTATCTCGTGTACCTGTTGGTGAAGATAAAATTTTTGATCATGAAGAATCCTGTTTCAACATCAATGAACTTAACACACCTATCGACGCTGAAATAATTCGTCAGCATGCCAAACATGACCCAATTCTTCGCCGAGTTTATTTTCTCGTTACAAACGGTTGGCCTGAAAAGCTAATGCCTCAAGATGCTGATCTTCGATCATTTTTCAATCATCGCTTTGCTTTAATACTAAACAACAATTTGCTTTGCCTCCAGACGGAGTACAACCGGGTTGTCATTCCAGCCTCCCTTAAGCAGAAAGTTCTTAAACTTCTTCATGATGGTCATTGGGGAGTATCGAGAATGAAACAGCTAGCTCGACAACATGTCTGGTGGACTAATATTGACAAAGACATCGCACAATTAACTGAAAATTGTGATGTGTGCAAAATTGCAAATCCTGTTCACGCACGTGAATACGTAAGCTGGCCTGAAGCTGATCGACCTTGGGAGAGAGTACATATCGACTTTGCTGGTCCATTTTGTAATTCAATGTGGCTAATTTGTGTCGACGCTTTCTCGCAATTTCCGTTCGTTGTACAACTATCTACAACAACAACGGTTGACACCATATCAGCATTGTCTTGTATATTTTCTCTGGAAGGTATACCAGAAACCATCGTAAGTGACAATGGTCCGCAATTTACAGCTGAAGCATTCAAACATTTTTGCTCAAAACTTGGCATCAAACATATAACAACAGCGCCGTTTCATCCAGCCTCAAGCGGGTTAGCCGAACGATTCGTCAGATCTTTTAAAACTGCTGTTCAGAAAAACATTGACGATGGATTGTCTCTCAAATTCGCTATATCAAAATATCTTGCAACATATCGTGCAATGCCGAATGCTGAGGGTAAATCACCTGCAGAACTTTTACATGGAAGGCCTGTTCGTACCTTGTTGAGTCAACTGTTTGAATCGCCTAGGAAGCACCTTGAAGCTTCGAAACGGAAAATGAAATTCAGTCTAAAGCAACCCGTCTTCGCTCGAAACTACGCAAGAGGGGAAAAATGGATAAAAGGAGTTATTGTGAAACAACTTGATAAAATGGTTTACCGAGTGAACACATCTTTTGGTTACATCAAACGTCACGTTAATCAGCTTAAAACTAGAAGTAGCTCTGACCTCTCTTCACAACCAATTTTTGAATTCGCTCCAAATTTCATCAATGCCACACCGCCTTCATCTAGCCAATCAACATTAATGCCTAATGAAGAACGTTCAACCGAAGTAGTTCAACTTCGAAAAAGTGGTCGTATTCGGAAGGATGTAATTCGATTTGAATCCGACGATTTCAGGAAAACTTAAACCTTGTCAAAAATTAAGGGCGGAGAAAGTGTTATAATCTAGTATGTTTTGCATTAGTTTAAGCAATCTTAAGTAATGAAATGTAAACAAAATTTAGTTAAATATAAACTGTCAATCTTGTCGGTTGTATTTACTTCAAAGAGTATCGTCTGATCGAGAGCATAAATAAAACGTCCAGACCAATTATCAAAGCACGATTATCTGCTAGGAAATAATCACAGAGAACAAAATATTAAACTAACAATATATTGTACTTATATTTAATTCTTAAATTTTCTTTTAAATAAAAATTGAATTATTGCATCAAATTGTCTTTAACTTCGAAAAGAAAAAAAAATAAATAGCAACGACCTCTGGACAAGGACTAAGCAGACCTCAGCACTATCAGCGAATACAACGAGTCGTTACAATTGGCGTTGTAAGTACAAATAACTCATTCGATATAAAATATATCTGTGTACAACAACCCTTAATTTTAAATATGCATCAATAAATGTACACACAATTTTTTTATTTAAAAACACAAACAAAATGCATACAATACAATTGTAAACAAAACAAATGCAAACGAAATGCACAATAAAAACTTTTCCAAATTGTTTTGTTCAATCGATACTAACAGGGCAATTTCGGCAATGATCTTTCAGCTCACCACACTCAAAATGTTGCGAAAAATCGTTGTTCCTTCATCTTCTGGCAGCGGTGTTTTTCCGGACTGGAAGCTTTTTTGATCTTTCCGAAGGCCAAATGAAAGATATGCTATTAATCAGATCTTTTGATTATTTGTGTTTTTCGTGTAAAAACTTATTTTTATATAAAATAAGATACATAAAAATTAAAATAAAAATTAATAAACAATTAATTTATTAATTAAAATTAGTAAAAATTGAACAATTCCTTTTAACTTTATTTTTAATACAACGCAAACGTAAATGTATTGATATACCTTTACAAAAATTTTAATATATATATTTTATATATTAATGTATGATATGTATATTTTTTATGTATTCAAATTATAATAACTATTTAATATGGATTTATTTATATATATTTAAACTATAATGTAAAACTAATTAATTTTTGTTAACACCGCTGCTGTTAATGTAGCAATAGCTACTAAAATTTTCATGAATCCTGAAAAACCGTAGCCTCATTAGGTAGCCTAAGAGAGTTATTTATACTTTTAGATGGTGCGAAGATTCCTGCTCCTGCCCCACCGCTCATTTTCGAGCCATCTGTATATATTGAGATATCGTAATTTCCTTCGAAATTTTTCCTTTTCCACTCATTTCTTGAAGGGAATATTGTCTGAAAATTTCTTTCGAAGTCTATACACGGATTCAGATAATCCGATGTCATCCTATACAGACAATTTGGAACTGTACCTAGAATCCGACTATGTCCATATGTTCGTTCTAACCATACGCCTGTTACTTTTAGGCTTACAGCGCTATTACAAACTATTTTTTAATGTGAAGATCAATTGGTAGCAAATGTAGCATCACGTTTAGGGCGTCCGAGGGAGTCGTCCTAAAAGCTCCTGTGATGCCTACAAATGCCGTCCTCTGAATTCTGTTAAGTTTGTCGATATTATAGCTCTTGTTTAGAGCCGGTAACATACCTGACACTAGAATAACCACGTCATCCGCGTACGCTACTGCTTTCACACCTATCTTATCTAGAATATTAAGAATATTATCCATGACCAGCAGCCACAGTAATGCTGAAATAACCTCTCCTTGTGGCGTCCCCCTACTGACGTGCTTCGTTTGGGTTATGCTGCCTAACTTTGATTGAATAATCCTTGTTTTAAGCATAGTAACTATCCAATTTTTAAACT